TTTTATTTAAATATTTTGATTTTTTAAAAAAATAAATCAGAGCTAAAAAAGTGCAAAAACGCAGGCAAATTTGTCTGCATTCGACTACAATCTAAGGGATACGTATCTTCTGATTTACAATCCATATGCCCAATTTAATTATATAACCTTATATATTTAAAAAAAATTGAGAATAGTGTTATGAAAATTATAATTTTAAGGTTGCAATTTTATATGTAAGTTCTAGTAAATAAAAACCTTTATATTATATTATTTAATTTGATCTTGAAAATGAGTATATAAATTACAAATTATATTTTAAAATTATGCATAAATATAATAATTTAATAACCTCTATAAGAATAAAACTATGCTACAAAATTCTGAAATCATCATGCAGTATGTATTAATTTATAATTTTTATTATTTAATCATAATAATTCGTCATTTTAATTAAATAATAATTGTTTAAACTATTAATTATTACTATTATTGATTGGGTTTATATCAATAACACGCATTTGTATATTTTAAAATTTTCAATTATACTATACAATTTTTTTTTGTGCTCTAACAATTTTTCTTATACTATTTTAATATTAGGTGCAAATAAATTAGTAAATACTTCGAATAAATAAATTTTTATACTTACAAATATTTCGATTAAAACCTTTTCTCTAATTGTTTCTGATTTTTTTTTTTTTGATTTTTAGTGTCCTAAATTTTTTTAAAAAATTTTAGTTAAATAAGGGCTCTGATATTTATTATCTAATATTCATTTACTATAGAGCTCTACCCCCTCCCTCTCAGGTAATATTTTTATTATTCAATTAAATTTTAGTATTATATTGAGGTAAGGTTTGGCTTTACACTCACCCCCTAAAATATTACCTAATAAATGTCAGCACCCTAATCACTATATTCGAATTAATTCGATATAAAACAAAAAAAATTAGAAAGTTAATAATTTATATTAAGTACCTCAATTGATAAATTAAAAATATAAGATAATTGATATATTCAATTAATTAATGTAAATAAAAATCAAAAATATAATATATATAGCTGCTTCGATTAATAAATAATTATACTATACTTAAATTAAATTAACATGATACTCAAAAAAGCTCATTGAATTATTTTAACTCAATTAAGATTTCCAAAATCAAAATCAATCTAGAAAGTTGATTCTATTGATTTATTAAATTATCTTATTTAAATCTAATCCTCTTTTACTTCAAAATTAACTATAATTCATAACAAATTTTTTGTAAAGCTTTTATTAAAAAACCTATATAACTCTAAAGCTCTTCTAAAAATAGTTATCAAATTATACTGCTTATCAATATGAATAAAATCACCAAATTCAAGAAAATAGATAAAAAATTTAATGCTAATGTGATTAAAAATCATATGCCCAGAATTAGATATAGGTGAAAAAATTTTATTCTGAAGTGGCAAAAAAACTTTTACTGATAAATAAGATAATAAATCTATATTGAATACGTCACCACATATATTAGAATGATAATTAGAATATTTCTGATATAGTGCTATAATTTGTACAAGATAAAGTTTACGATTAATATAGAAAAATCTATAATCATGCTTGTGAAGAGGATTATGTTCTCCAATATTAGCAACAGTTATTCCATTTAGATCTAAATTATAAAAATAATTTATTAAATAAATATTTAAAACCAACCATATAATATTATTACTTACCAATAATATGGACAAATGACACTGATTTTTCTACCAAATTCTATGTAATTTCTCAGTTTGTGATATATCAATATTCAATATACAATCTGCAATTAGACTACTAATCATATTTAGAGAAACAGAATTCATATAATCAAGATTTTGAATTCTATAAATAGTCTTTCACTTCATATTTTGGTTACTATAACATTTGTGATTTTTTTGTAAATTAATTAGATAAAGAACATCTAGAGCTTCTGCTTCAGTAATATCTATATAAAATTTTTCATGTATTTCTAAATTATGATTATTTAAAGAACTTGCATCCAATAATAAAAAAGCTAACTTGAGCTGTGTATTTTTTAAATCATTTTCAATATCATCATTATAAATATCAATTGTATTAAAATCAGCTATCATGCTTGCTGCTGTAGCAATTGCATGTGAATCTGATATTTCATTATTTTGCGACAAACAATTAAAATCATTAAAAATTATTCTCATTATTTTTATAATCTGACTGATTTGATTTTCTCTTAAAAGTATTTAAGGAATTAAAAAGTTCATTATTGCAATTAATTATTGAAAGAACTTTTGTCAAATCCCAAGCCTGCAAATATCCCTCATGAACAGTGCAAAGCAAATCATTATTTGAAGGCCATTAACATAGCACATTAATAGTTTTTGCAAGTGTTGTGGTATTATAATGTGTGATATATTCTAATAAAAATAAATAAAGATTTAATTACTTTAGCAAATTTAAAGGAGCAAAATATTGCAAAAGAATTTGTATTATGAAAAAATTTTACAAATTAGGCTATATAAAAAAAATTCTTGGTTTTTATAACCCGGCCGGGTCAAAATTTGAAAACTTGTAAAAAATTTTTTTATATGTTTTAATAACCAGGTAGGTTTTTAAAAAAAAAGTTTATTGGTTTAGGCCGCAGATAAACTAGTCTGAGTTTCTTTTCTTGTTATCTTAGAATATGAAGTTTAAATATATTCTTTTCATTGTAAGAGAATTGAATTAAATTTCAATAAAGATAAAGATATGGTCTCATCATTAACATTAAAAAAAAAAAAAAAGTTTAAAATAATTTATAAAATTTTTATATATAAAATTTTTAAAAAAAAG